CTGAAACTTTGGGGATATGTGCCCATACCATGCGCGACCCTCCCGTTTTAATTTCATCCCCCTTGGTAGCCTGGGTGCCGCGTACAGACGCTTTAAAAAAATGTGCAAATTTTTTGGCGGAAAAGCGATCTCGAGGACTACATGGGCTAAGGGGCTGAAACTTTGTAGGGATATTCCCTATGCATGTACTAGCTAAAGATTTCAAATTCAGCCCCCAGGTATGCGTAGTACCCAAGTAGGGGCGTATGGAAGTTTTAGGAGGGAAATTGCTAACTCAGGTACCAGGAAGGCTAGAAAGCTAAAATTTTGGGAAAATGTTCCCTATCCAAGTAGAATTCAAATACTTCAAATTCAACCCCAAGCTATGCATGGTACTCACGTAAGGGCGTATAAAAGTTTTAGAGAGAAAATTGCTAACTCAGGCACTAGGAAAGCTAGAAAGCTGAAATTTTGGGGGAATGTTCCTCACCCAAGTACAACTCAAATATTTCAAAATCAGCCCCAAGCTATGCACTGTAGTCACGTAAGAGCGTATGAAAGTTCTTGCAGCAAAATTGCTAACTCGGCAATCAGAAGAACTGGAAAGCTGGAATTTTAGGCGGATATCCCCTGCCCACGTGCAATTTAAAAATTTCAAATTCAGCATCCTAAGCACGTGAGGTACCCAAGTACGGGTATGTGAAGGTTTTAACGGGAAAACTGCTAACTCGGTAACCACAAAAGCTGGAAGGCTGAAATTTTGAGGGAGTATTCCCTGTCCAAGAACAACTTAAGTATTTCAAATTCAGCCTTGAGGTATGCGTGGTTCTTACGTACGGGCACTTAAAGTCTTGACGAAAAAATTTCTCACTGAACAACCAGGTTACTTTTAAAGAACGACTGTTAGATGGAAATTATACACTACTTTGCAAAATTTCTGGTGATTTATGCTAGTGACCGCAAAAAGCAGTTGTGAAGCAACACCCATTCATACAGTTAATTATCTGAGTAATTCAAGTCCGGTGCAAAAACGCATGATCGCACGGGCCCGCCCGGTGCGTTCCAGCCTGGGTTTGCATCTATGCAATGCAGAAAACGCATATTGACGAAGGGTTACCTGTGTGTGTGCTTGTGTCTGTGTATGCGTCTGTTACAGTTTTTCCTTTTTTAAGACCTACATAAGTTTTTTTTTACATATAGGTTTTTCATGCTCGGCCTGAAATACGATGTCGAGGGCAAGTTAGCAACCTCAAATACGACAACTAGAATCCCACCTCGACGAAAAACCCGGTAAAACGACCCACGCAATCCCCCACCCCTCCCCCTCTCGTCCCCTATCTTCCCCACTCTCTTCCGCTCCCCCTCCGCCACTCGGACCCAAGACTGGGCGCGAACCGGGGCCGAACCAGGTTTTGCAAGTTGCCTGGGCATTGCGACCATCGATGTCAGTTCCGGTAGTTCGGCGCAGGAAAGTGGAGAGGGGGATAGTGAGAACTTGTGGTACCTGGTTGGTATTCCAACCCGGCGTATCCTGTATCTTTTGCCAGACAAGTGTTCTCCTCCACAGCAGCCGAAATCTCCCACAGCCCCCCGCCCCATCCCCCCATTCCCTCCACCCTACCGCCCCTCTCCCCAGTCCTCCTTCCCCCACCCCAACCCTCCTTCCCTACCTTCGACTCCCCTTCCCTTTCCCCTGACCCCCCACCCTCACCCCTCCCCCAACCCTCAACCTCACTCCCGCTCCCCAACCCCACCCTCGCTCCCAAACCCCAC